CTACATGTCAGATGTTGGGGTACGGGTTGAGTCTTCATCGCAGATGCTGCTGATATTATGAAGAGTTCCTTCGCTGTCGAGTAAATCCTAGGAATTAAAATCATGTGGGTGTTAATTAATTCATGTTATAACCAAGCCTGTCCTTATCCCAGCTCAGGGTTATATTTAAAGTTACCGGAGGGGTGGGGGAGCAAAGTGTACTCCATGGTGCCCTCTGGCATCAGCGATCAGCTAGATATTGTGGCTACCCTTACTGCCCACCCCCACCCCCCCTTTCTTCCAGAGGGTATCCCTTCATTTCTTACCCGAGGGCTGGAGCTTCCTTCTACCTCATAGGTCACGTTCTCTGTCTCTGGTGGACTAAGAAGGAAATCCACAAGGTGCAATCATAAGGCAGTGAATCGTGTCCTTCTGCAGCCCAGCATACACACAGAAGCCAGCCAGCCCCTTCTCCAAAGTTTGTGACTCCCTAGAGAGTTCTGGGAGCATTGTTTTAGTCTAAGGAAAGACCTTCAAATTAAGCCCAGGTTCGTCTTCCTGTGAATATATTAGATTATTAGACTGAAACTAAGCTCTTCAAAGATTGCACACTTAAATCAGGAAGAATGCATGCAATGAGAAATTGATGTTACCATTTTTTTTCAAGCACTGCTTCTAGACAAGCGTCAAGCCTATGTTCTAAAGAGCCTAAAATTTCCTTAACCCGTGCCTAAGCAAGGAGAAGAAAGTGTTTTTTGCTTCCTATTCTTCAGTTCCTCTCCTTGTTTCTCTCCCCTTCAACCTGATGAGTTCCTTCATTGGCTGTTCGAGTTTTGCTTGGAAGCCCCTTGGGATCAGATCAGGGATTTTGTCACCTTACCTGGCAGGAGGGGCCTCAGGAGCCTCTTCTTCCTTTGTGGTGCTGGAGAAGCAACAGAGCAGCCGCCACCACCTGGCTTTCTGCAGAAGAGAGCAGAGGATAGGAATGGCAGGGGTGTGGGTGTGGGTGCAGGCTTAAAGGGACTGCAAAGCTCAAGCTCAGAAACTTCCATCACCCACCATCTCCTTGTCCCCGAGTGCACAGAGGGGTGGCTCAAAATAAGCAGCAGCAGATGATAGATTAGTGCCTTCCACCTGCCCCTTGAATCTGCTTGGGAGCATTTGAGGCACAGGGGAGGGTGTTCCCGAGGGAGAAGGGCTGGGGAGAGAACAAAGCCGGTCCTTTTATTGGCACAATGTACCTGACTGTGTTGAGAAGATTGATATTTTCTATTTGCACATTACATTTCGTTTTCTAGGTTAGAATTCTAATCAACTGAAAAGATTTTTTCTTCCAAAATCTGGAAAAAGGTGTTTGGCGTTTAATTTTAGAGCTCTGAAGCCAAACTCCTTGTTCAAGGGGCCAGTTGTAAGGGGGGGGGGTCGTGTATCCTTTTTCCAGTACAGAACCAAGTCTGCTGCTCCAACCCTCCTTTTTTTATTATTATTTATTTATTGAGCTTATATGGACGGCTCACAAAACGCAGAATAAAAACAATTACAGTGGGGTCTCTACTTAAGAACTTAATCTGTATTGGAAGGTGGTTCTCAAGTTGAAAAGTTCTTATGTTGAATCTGCATTTCCCATAGCAATGCATTGAAAACCATTTAATCCATATCTGCTCTTTTCTGTCCATAGAAACTACAGTGGAACCTCTACTTAAGAACTTAATCCGTTTTGGAATGGTGTTCGTAAGTTGAAATGTTCTTAAGTTGAAGCAAAATTTCCCATAGGAATGGACTGAAAACCAATTAATCCGTTCTGGCTGTTTTTTTGTTATGTAGAGGTGCGTTCGTACATTGAAGCATTAGTTCCCATAGGAACTAATGCAAAGCTGGTTAATACATACTCTACCACTAGGGGGAGAATTTTTTTTTAACCTAAGATGACCTAAGGTTAAAAAAGGAGCAGGAAAATATGTATATACCTAACTTCTGGAATTGTATGGAGACATACCTTATACAGTGGTGCCTCGCATAACGTTTTTAATTGGTTCAAAAAAAAAAAACCTTATGCGAAAAAAACTTTATGCGAAACACCATTTCCCATAGAGATGCATTGGAAACCGGTTAATCCGTTCCAATAGGCACAGATTGCCGTCCTTAAGCGAAAAAACCCATAGGAAACATCGTTAAACGATACAATGTATCCTCCATTGGAATATATTGTAGCTGACTCAATAGGTTTCAATGGCTTTGCGAAGTCAATTTTTGCAAAATTAAGTGTGTCATAAAAGGGTCAAAAAATGGTTTTAAATGCTTGGATTAGCTTCTGCACCCTCTAAAACGGATGCAAAAGTTAATTTGGCTTTGATCTGACTTTTCGTTAATTTTTTGTGAATTTTTGTTTTTTGGCCCATAGGAACCAATGGACCTGTCAAAAGTTGGGGGAAAAAAATTCACCATTAATTAACGAAAAGTCAGATCAAAGCCAAATTAACTTTTGCATCCGTTTTAGAGGGTGCAGAAGCTAATCCAAGCATTTAAAACCATTTTTGACCCTTTTATGACACACTTAATTTTGCAAAAATTGACTTCGCAAAGCCATTGAAACCTATTGAGTCAGCTACAATACATTCCAATGGAGGATACATTGTATCGTTTAACGATGTTTCCTATGGGTTTTTTCGCTTAAGGACGGCAATCCGTGCCTATTGGAACGGATTAACCGGTTTCCAATGCATCTCTATGGGAAATGGTGTTTCGCATAAAGTTTTTTTCGCATAAGGTTTTTTTTTTGGAACCAATTAAAAACGTTATGCGAGGCACCACTGTATTCATAGGGAAAAACGTTATACGAAGCACAATCTGACTCTGAAAAAATAAACGTTAAGCAAAAAAACGTTAAACGAAGCAAACTTTATGCGAGGCACCACTGTATATTAAAAAAGGGACTCAAACTGAAATAAGACATTACTAATCAGAGTTAAGACATAACATGGTGGCTCTTAAGGTAAATTGAAGCTAGATGTAAGAGAAAAAAGAAATAGTACTTAATTAACATATATCAGATATGTGGAGATACAAATGGCTAAACAAATATATAAAGAAAATCTATATAAAATGCTTTAGATAACCATTTATCATGTGTTAGGAATCTATTTAGTTATTATTGATATAAAATATGAAGGTGGTCGGTTAAATTGCCTCAAAATTAAATAAATTTGAAACCAGAATTACTTTTATGAGGATTTTGAGAACAAAATACTATAAGAGGAATATTATGATAGTAACCAATATTGTACACTAAAATATACATATGATTGGTTCAAATACTTAAAAACTGTAAAGATTTTGAAGGGACAACTAAGAAGACACCAAGATGCAAAAACAAATAATTATAAGCAACTCATGTAACACAATGTTTAATAAGCACAAACTGAATGTAGATAGAATGAAAAACTAATAACATGTGTTTTTTTTAAAAAAAGAACATCTGATTGAGAAAAACTGAATAGTGGCATTTATCAAGTGTATAAACTTTAAGGGATGGTGGAACACCACACTTTTAAATACCAAAAGTACTGGCTGCTGGTGGGTTCAGCTGTCGGCAGGATCTCAACCTGACCTTTAAGACAGTTTGAAAGGGGGGAAAATTCATTGCCCCCTCCTGTATCATGCAGCACATGCGCACTGCCCTAACAGAGTGCAAAGAAATTTCACTTCCTCTGCCCTTCTGCAGAGAAACTGTTTAATTTATGAATATCATGACGTAGCTATCTTCTTCATGAAGAGAGTCATTTCACAATATTGGCAAATTAAACATTTTTAGTAACTGCACATGCTGGAAATAAACCAAAACAGAGTCATCATATGAGGACCAAAAAAAAAAACAAAACCAGAAGCTCCTGACAGAGATCCAGAAAGGTATGGGTGGAATGATCTTGAGCTGGTTCACTCCAGCAATTATATTGCGTGATCTGTGGAAGAAAGAATGCCCCAACTTGTGGACCAAACAGCAGGCTAATGCCTGTCTGATCACAACCAGAGCAACTATGCTGCTCTGTACTGTGCTAAAGTGACTCTCCACTTATAATCTCTGTGATCCTAGCCAACAGAGATCATATAGCAAGGAAGATGAGCAAGGTTCCAGACATGCACGCCTCAGCTTCCCACTAGCACATAATCTTTTGCTCAAACCAAGAACAAAACAAGCCAACACAACACTTTATAGCCTTCTTAATTGTCCTAGAGAAAAGTGAGAATTCAACATAAAGTCAAGTATACTTCAGAAGCACAACTACTCTCCTGAATGGAGAAATGACCCTTAGACAGCCATGAGAGGTCTTGATGCATTGAGCATTTGAGGCTTAATGTAGTGGGAATGAGCACCCATTCGTCTCCAAAGAACTAGAGGAGATCAAAAACTAAGCTCTTCCAGTGATTGTGGGACTGTAGATGAGTGTAATATCAGAAGACTCTATCTCTTCTCTTCAGGAAGTGGGGCAAAATTCATAATATATTTGGGCAGGCTGTCAAGGCAAACCAAGAGTTATTTACACTAGAGGTGACATCATCTAATTATACAGCCAAAGTGATTTACTCTCAGGCCTTTCAACATCATGAAAGGTAATGTTGTCCTGTTAGACATCACAGGGATGTCTGCTCTCCCCTGACACTGCACTACAAGGGGAGGCAATGGAACAACCATTGCAACAGGTAGACAAAGTAAGGTATCTCATCACACTGACAACTCAGTCAATATCACTGTCTTATGCGCTGCACTGTAGCAATTCCATAATCACTTCTCACTAAGAACTGCCAGTTAGAGGGGAATGGAGCCACATTGGCTAGGAAGTGTGGGCAGAGGTGCTTCCCCGTGAAGCACAACAAATTAATACTTCCACCATGATCACAGCAAATCCTACCAAAGCATTATTGGCACTGTGCCCCATTTTGCACATGCCAAAAAAGGCTGCAATCTGCCTGTAGTTAGCGAAGAGTCTGGAGCTTGTTTTAAAAAATGTAGTTAATCTTTGTTTTTAACATTTTTAATTGCTTTTACCATTTTAATTCACTACAAATTATTTTCAGAGCCCTGCTCGACAGAACTGCTTTGGGCGCCCTCCTGGGCAGCTCCTGTGATAAATGCTCTAAATAAATACAAACAAATAAGAAAAAATAGACAAAGCTTATCTTACTGCTCAGAACAGTTGTTCTCAAGACTTAATCTTGCTAAGGCTGGGGTGTAAGTCAAGGCACCTGGCTCTGCCCCCTCTCCGTAGGGCCTGGGCCGCCCCTCCCCTTCCCCCCAAGATCTCCAGGAGAGCTCCAGCCCACCCCCCTTCCCAAGGCAGCCAGAACTTACTCTGTTTCTTCTCGGACGAGGAGCCATGATCTCCAGGGGCTCAAGGACTTGGTCTCACCCAAGTAGAAGGGACGGCACACGGGCGCAAGCAAACACCGCCAGCCAGAAGACCTCAGAGGAGCTTCCAACTGCCACCAAGTCCACGAGGGGACTGAGCAACACAGGACCGGCCCGGAACCTGGTTGCCTTGGCGACCAGGTAAACACCTAAGGTCTGGGAGTTCCGAGCAGTCTTGGCCAGCCTTTGAGTCCAAACAGAAAAGAGCTCTCCCTTTGGAGCCAAGCTCGGCCATGGAGGCTGCCAGCTCCCTTTCCGGCCTGGCTCCTCTGCGTCTGGCAGAAGCATTCGGACAAATAGAAACATGCACTCTTGACAACGCATGCAAAGTTGCCCACAGACCAAGATGGCTTCAAAAATGGAGAAACAAACAGTGTTAAAGGCTTAGTTTTTACATGTCCCGCTACAATCCCTCAGACGTTTATCCAATAGAGCCCAGGAACCAGAAACTGCCAGAAGGCTTTCAGGAGGGGGGTGCAGAGTAATCTTACAAGGATTTTAGAAGTCCCTGTGGCTCCTTTCTTTCTGGGAGAGTCAAAGGCTTTCTTCCTGCAATTTGGTCACATAAATGTGTCTGATAAATGGCCTAGTGCCACTTTGTTTTGTGACTGGTCTCCCATAATGTAGAAAGAACTGAAATTAAACATGAAGGGGTGCTGTATAGCCTGAGGAAGAATGATTTTACATATCAAAACTTGAAATATCATGTTTGTTTGTTTGTTTGTTTGTTTGTTTGTTTGTTTGTTTGTTTGTTTGTTTGTTTGTTTGTTTGTTTGTTTGTTTGTTTGTTTGTTTGTTTGTTTGTTTGTTTGTTTGTTTGTTTGTTTGTTTGTTTGTTTGTTTGTTTGTTTGTTTGTTTGTTTGTTTGTTTGTTTGTTTGTTTGTTTGTTTGTTTGTTTGTTTGTTTGTACCATTGTAATTTAGATCAGGGTTTCCCAAGCAGGAAAAAAGCTTTGTTTTTGGATGTCGAGTGAATTTGAAGTCTGACCCCCCAGCTCACTATCCATTCTCAGAGGAGACCAGCATTCATTGGCCTGGGTTGAGGTGTTTACATGTGTGTTTGGCTGAGAAAGAGAAATGAACAGGATGTAAGAATACTAGTAGTGTTTACTTGCATAGGAGCAGGTTCTCTGGCCATCTATGTGTTGTAAGAAAATATTTATTTATGAAGGGTTGCAAAAAATCCACATCTTCTCCCTCTCTCACACATACAAACACACTCTCTCACATTCTCATACACACACACACAGATGGCATTGTTGCCGTAAGGGAGCACCCCCTTTGATAAGGCTGTCTCTCCCTTTGACATCCCAAGGAACAGGCCTATTTGATTTCTTTATTTCTTTATTCAATTTGTAGAAAAGAGCGACTAAAATGATGACTGGGCTGGGGCACCTCCTTATGAGGAAAGGCTACAGCAATTTAGGCTCTTTAGAGAAAAGATGTCTGAGTGGGGACATGACTGAGATAAAATTATGGAGGGGATGCATAAAGTGGTTAGAGGGAAGCTCTTTTCCATCTGACGCAATACCAGAACCAGGGGACAGCAACTCAAATTTAGTTTTGGGAGAGTGAGAAGAGACAAAAGAAAATATTTCCTGACCCAGCATGTTGTTAGTCTTTGGAACTCCTTGCCGCAGGATGTGGTGATGTCATCTGGCCTAGATGCCTTTAAAAGGGGATTGGACAGGTTCCTGGAGGAACAGTCTATCACAGGTTACAGACCATGATGGGGATGTATAATCTCCAGGCTTAAAAGGAACCTCCAAATGCCAGACGCAGGGGAGAGGTTTCAGGAGACAGGGATCTAGCTGTCTCATGTGCTTCCTGAGGCATCTGGAGGGGCCCCTGTAAGATACAGGAAGCTGAACTAGATGAGCCCTTGGCCTGATCCAGCAGGGCTCTTCTTATGTTCTTAAGAGGGAAGCAGATGCTCCTGCTTCAGTTGGACAGTCGCATGAAGAGCAGGAGAGAAGCACTGTGAATGGGGGTGCCAGGTGTTCACTTGAGATGATGTGGCATGTTGCACTTCGCGCCCATCTCTAGTTATATTCATTCCACATAGCTGATGTATTTATGTTGTGGGTTTTGCAGTATCAGCTCTGAGAATTTTTTAAAATCTTACACCTAACTGTAACATTAGAAAAAAAATCAATTTCACCAGATTTGAATGGCAAGTCTATATAGCTCACTACTGAATCAAACTCCTACCTACAGGAGAAAGATGCTATATGTATTTCCTTAGAAGTAATGGCCAAATGGGATGTCAATGGGAATCCACATTTCCTACAATAAATCCTTTTTTTGACAGTGAGAATTTCTCCAAAATATATTGCTTATATATAGATCAGAATTGGATATTAGCCCCCTGTTTCTTTGCCAATGATTAATTACAAAGCAAAGCACACTGGACGCTTTTAATGTTAGACTAGGTTGTGGCAGGTGTAGGACAAGCTGTCCCAAGAAGAAGGAACTGGTAAACCTCTTTTGAGATTTCTATACTTAGAAAACCCTGTACTGTACAGGGATATGGTCAGTCAGAATAAACTTGACAGAATGTTATTATTGTTATCATTACTGAGATAAATAGATACATTTCACTATTGGGGGGGAACTTGTGCAAGAAAGAAAGAAACATATTGCTTAGTTCGACTCTTAAGTGTCAAGGTGTTGAATGGCGTTTACTTTGAAGTCTCTGTGCAAAGGAATACAGCTGTCAGTTGTAAAATGCAAATGGGCCCCTAGCATTTGGAGTGTGTCTATAACATTTAGTGCACCCACTGGTCTGTAATAATGGGAAGTGATACCTTTGATAACAGCTTTGTGTGGGGGGGGGACCGATGATCAGCTTAAAATTTTTTGCTAAATTAAACAGACAAAAAGGCTGATTTCAAATTGCTGTGTACAGTTCAGAGTAAATTTTGAATTCAGTGGTGAGGAAGGAGTATAGGGAGTAGGAAAGATGGAAATTTACTGCTGAACATATATAATGTTCTTAACTGGCAAATGAAAACGGCAATACTCCTTTTCTGGCTATTGAAGTTGATAGAAGCAAAGTATCCATAATAAAAAGATGAAATGGGTCCAGTAAACTTTAACCACCATGGCCATTCCTTAAAGACAAATAATTGAGATGGACGAGGATCATGGATTTTTATTTCTGCATAAAGATTAAACAATTTGGGGCTACATTATCCTTCTTAAATATAACCAGAGTGCTTCTATTTAAAGTGGTCACTTAAGACTGACATTAGCCATCAATTTTTTAAATAGAGAATATTTTGCTTTCATTGCATAAAAGTGCTGTGTATGTGATAGGGAGAGGTGGGGGAGGGAAGGAGAGGGAGAGAAGGATCCTTTTGCTCAGGAGGAAGAGGTTAAAATTAGAAGATAAATCACAGTTTGCTTCTGAACCTCTAGGGCAGAACTGGCCAACATGCTCCTCGCTGAAAATTGTATCAGAGGTGTTCATATTCAGAGTTGTTTCTGCAGTGCTGGATGGATAGCTGGGAGCCAGAGATTTGGACTTCAATTCCTCCCTGCACCTGCCACAAGAGCAACCAGCCTGTGTAGCCTTGAACAACCGGCGCAGTCCCAGTGGAAGGGAACTATTAGCTACTTCTGAATACTTTATGCCTAGAAAACCCTGGAAGGGGTCACCATAAGTTGAGACCGACTTGATGGCATGTAATTATTATTATTATTTCTGCAACACAATAATTTCTCTCTCTGCTCACAAACATAACTGGGATTTTTTAAAAAAAGGAAACCAGGAGTAAGGATCCAGGTTATATAATAAAACAACATAAAGGTCTTTTCATCACATTGCACAATCTGAATATGGAATGGTAAATTAGGAATCTAATCATTGCTGACATTACAGATGTACAATCCTCAAAAATGGAAATACTGTACCCTGAAAGGCATATCCCTAAAAATACTATTTTGTCTAGATGATGGGACAAGATATACTGAATCGTGGCTATTGTTGAGTCTCACAATAACTAAATTGAATCATAGGGATAGTTAAAATTTCCATCCTGTGTCCAGGGTCATTTTTCACTGCTAATTTTATATTTTATAATCTTAAGTGGCTTGAGAGCAGGTTAACTGAAAGACTGGCTATTCCTATCTGTGAACTCTAAGACCTTCTTCAAATACCTTGTTCTGAGTTCTTTCAGCCCCATCCAATGAAGTGAGTGAGAAGGACAACCACCTTCCTGACATCACTATAGTGTCCCTTTTAATATTGTGGGGTGGGGTGGGGGCTACCAATATGCTCTGGATAATTATCATTAGAAAATAAAATTATTTACATGCTGATTGGTTGAGATTGTCGCAAGAGGAACTTCACTCACAATGTATAATTTTGTGTTCCATCCTAAGCAATTCCTCATGTTCTAGTTTGGTGTCTCAGGCATATGAGAAATCATGCCTGAATTCAGCTGTAATGAATGATTATCTGTAACATGTACTTCGTGCATAGGTTCCTCACGTTTAAATTCTGTGTTTTAACTCCATGGTCGCTGTATTTTATTTTATTTTACTGGTTGCTTATTTTATTTAAATTGTTTTTAGAGATATTTTGTCTATAACTCACACAGAGAACTTTATGTTAAATGACAATGAACATTTTCAAACCACACACACACACACACACACACACACACACACACAAACACACACACACACACACACCCCTTAATGCTATACAGCAATGGCTTTCAACTGTGTTTAGAAATGTCATTTTTTGGAAACTAATGAAGAATACCTTGGTGAAAATATCAATAGTATCAAATAAGCTTTGTTGATGGAAGCCTGCAATGTAATGACACAGAAGAGTCACCATGTGTTATAAGGTGCCTCGTGGCGCAGTGGTTAAAACGCTGTACTGCAGCTAAAACTGTGCTCACGACCTGGGGTTCAAATCCCAGGTAGCCGGCTCAAGGTTGACTCAGCCTTCTATCCTTCCGAGGTCGGTAAAATGAGTACCCAGCTTGGTGGGGGGGGGCAATGTGTAGCCTGTATAATTA